TAGATGCACAGTAGTCAAAATGGGGTTCGATTATTGATTTATATACCATAATTTTTGTATCTGTTGATAAGTTATTGGCGATTCTTGAGAAGAAATAGAATTTTTTTGCAAACTTGTTTTCAATATATTTGAAGTGGTCGTCGAATGATAAGCAATTATCAAGTTGAAATCCCAAATACTTCACAGATGTTACTATTTCTATACATTCATCTTCAATTTTTATATTTATGTTGTTTGTATTTATTTGATTATATTTGAATTTAGTAGTAATTATCATTGCTTTTGTTTTTTAACGTCAAGTTTCATTTGATTGGTTTTCAGATATTTTTCTACTTTCTTTAGAACTTCATTCATTTTGCCAACAGTTTCTTCTAAATTTACTCCAGTACAGGCCAATAAGGCATCATCTGCAAATAAGTTGATGAACTCACAGTCTATAAATAAATGAATATCATTCAGATACAGAATGAATAATAGGGGACCAAGCAGACTACCTTGTGGTACTCCTGTGTGATTTGTTATATATGATGAGAAATAATCGTTCACACGTACCCTCTATTTCCTATTTGATAAATAATTACTTATCCATTCATAAACCATCCCCTCAATCCCATATCTTCTCAGCTTCTGAAGCAAAATACTTCTATCAATCATTTCAAAGGCCCTTTTGAAATATAAAAAGACAGCTACAACATATTTACCTTTATCTGTTTCATTAGTAAATTTAGTTAATGATAACTGTAGTGCTGTTTCACAAGAATGTTTTTTTCGAAAACCAGATTGATTGCTAAACATGATTTGATTTTTGTCAATAAACTCTAATAATTGATTATATACTGCTATTTCTAAAACTTTCTCTATTGGTGGTAAGATATTAATAGGTCTAAATTCACTTGCTTTTATAGTGTTTGTAACTTTAGGTATGGGTATAATGGTACTTCCCAACATTAATATGTCCCTAGATACCGTGCCCTTCAACTGCCTCAGTACAGTTCATTATTTAATATTTTCATATGACTTTCCCAGCTCATCATGTGACACCTAACAATTTAGTGGTTGTGACCTGTTCTATACTTTTGTCATTGATTTTTATTGAAGAGCTGAAGTTATGAATATCATTTCTTGGAATAGAAGATATGAATTTTGTTTTTTCTACGTTGGCACATAGACCGTTAGTAGTACATAACTCATAAAATTGTTGTATATATAGTAATAATACTCACATAGTTATGATTATCAAAAGAATTTTTTCAAGCAATTTTTATATCTCTAATGAAACATCTAAAATCTGAATAAAACCATTTAGGAACTGTATAAGTCACTTTTCCCAGATTTCCCATTTTATACCTGCACACTAATTTATTCAAACCTAAGTAATCGGTGTTCCTAAAATCTTTAAATCCACTGTAATCTATATATTGCCCCATGATGCTTTTGGTATATTGATATCACCACTATTATAATCTTCATGCAGTCATTGTTCACTGTGGTTCTGGCGTTGAATTATTACGCCTTGGCCAAAGATGAAATGGACTGGTTTATTTAAGTTAGACGATAGTCATGTTACTAAGTGTTCTGGCGATGTATTGAATTTGTTGGAGCCTCTGGAGACACCCTACATTTTGTTTTATGAGAGAGAGAACATTGGCAGATCAAGATCTTCAGATTATGTACTGCTGCAGGTTTTTTCGGGTTTTCCTGCAGCTGAAAAAGCAAATGCGCCACTGGAATCAATGAAGTCGCCCCGGAGCGCCAATTAATTTTTATTGTTTTTATAATTTCACTATACAATGCTCTTCATAAATCTTTCCGGGTGATTTAGGGGGAATGTAGACTCTTCCTATGATAAATTTCACATTACCGTATACTTGTTCAACGGAGACATGTAATGTAACAACATGTGAACTAATAACAGAGTTTTTATTGTAAAATAATACCACCCACCTCTGGACTCAAGCATTGGTTACAACTAATTCCCCGGTAATACCACACTGGATATTGAATTATATCTGACAGGCATTTATGCAAGATGCAGATCACCTACAAACCGGTTTAGAGGTATTACCTCACATTAGTGCAGGAAAGATCCAACCCAAACCTCAAAGTGCCTGAATAACAGCTCCGGTCTGTAGGTGATGTTCATCATTTGGAAATTTGTTGTGGGAGCGGACCAAAGATGTCCTGAGCAACTAGGGGCATTTTATCAACACCTAATTTAAGCCAAAACCTCACAAAATAACTTAAAATTCCTAGAACAAGCCAAAAACAAACATCCACCTCTTGGGTACTCAAATACATGTTTAAATATTAAACTATCGTGTCGACCCCTCCACTTTCCTCTGACCGTCACACAAACAGCAATGTTAATGGTTGTTTTTAAAAAGTAGAACACGTAAATGAAATCGAGTGAACCATTTGGACATTATAAAGTATAGAATTACACCAATAAACATTAAAAACACATTTCAAATCGTTGGATAAGTAGGAGATTATGATTCATATGCCATCTAACAACAAATGACAAGTCAGTAGTCACACCATGTTTCAATTCTTCTTAGTGAAAATCAAAGCGAAAAAAGAGTAGGCTAGACCCTCAAACTCACACTGTACACACAGTTTTTCATTTTGAACAGGTACATCCAACTTACCATATCTTCTCCACATCCTAAAAAAAGTTGAACATCCCTGTCATCAGGATCAGAATCTGTTTTCAATTTATCCTTCTGGTTGTCGGCGGTTTTCAAAGCATTTTTCTTGAAAGCGCTCAGAGAATTCAAATTATAGTAGCAGCTTTCACATATCTGTTTTGACAGGGGATCGGTTCGGTAAATCTGAAAAGTGGTCGTCGATATTAATCCAGCCGTCAGAATTTCCGAAAACTGAACGTGCAAAATAACAACGTCTCTCTACTTACGATTATTGGTAGACACTCTTTTATTAACTGCAGGATTTGAATGCCCTCCTCGTTTTTCTCAAAAATGCCAAACATTTTCTCACTTGTTTCGTCACATAATCGACATGAGCAGTCTAATTTTTCCGACACCTCCATTTTAATTTATTATCCTACGAACTAATCACCAACACAAATAACCGAAATCTTGAAAATTGTTTTACTTATTCAGTAAGTAATAGTGATTTCAAACAAAACGCCGACTACTTGACATGTTATTAGTGATTTCCGCCATTTTAATTGTAATTCCAAGAAATTGCGAAAGAAGTCGCTAGTTCGGTATCTTTACGAACTCTCACACTCGTACCTCGAACTACCCTTGAAAAGTTGAAGTTGGATAGGTTGGAAACTGGAATACTTCATGGATAGAGGTATAGAGGATGCGGTCAAATAACAGCCGGACGGACGACTACATGACAGTTCTGTAATTGGTTCAATCAGGCAACATTAGGATCACTTTTATTTTAGTAAGGGTGGTACTTCTCCAGAAATAATTTGTTTCGTGTTATTCTGTCAATATTTTGAATTATTCACTTGATTATTTTCAAATCTTTAGATAAATATTCAAAATATATGTATGGAGTTTTTTCAGAACGGCTTTGACGGAAAATTCATAATTTCTATGTGACTGTACAAGAAAGACTTCTATAACGAATGTTAAATTTTATAAGTATAAGTTTTCAACCCGTTCAATGTTCCAAAATAATCTGTGCATTTTATGAAATTTCAATTAATTTTGATATATGTTCTTGAAATAAATACGAATTACTGAACTAGAGTTTTCTGTTCTATGAATGAAATATGGAAGAAAACAGAAACATACCTATTTAACCAATATCATTTACCAATAACAATAATTGTTATAATTTGTAGGTACACTTTTATTATGTAAGAAATAAAAGAACCAGAATCATCTTAGTTTTAAATTGTAAATATAGTTTTGTTTTTATATTTGAATCAGTTTGACGTTTTCCCATAACATGTTGAGAATTCAGTATGAAATAAGTCATCGAAATATTGTTGAAAATTATACTTTTCCTATATGGAAAAAAAGAAGAAACTAGAGATTTTTTATAATAATAGCATGCAACACGTAAAACATCAAGACGTATGCGTATGAGTGACGTAATGCCAAAACGTTGTCTCTCTATTCTTGTTTAGTTGTTGGTTAGTGTTCTCTCATCAATGGTCCCAGTCCATATTATGACTTCAGTGGCGTTTCATGAGGAAGATTTAGGGTACGGTCACAACGATCACGTTCACGACCGAAGTTTTTCCCGTTCGACTTGCTTGAGAGCGTTACTGTCGTAAACTCTAGTGGAATCGATTATGGAGCGTTTTGGGCGTTCATGTAAACATTACAAGGCTGGATGAAAAAAACCAAGTTTAAAGGAGGTTGTGCATCTAAGCCTTAATAATGAATTTCAATAATTGCAAGCTACCTTTATTTATATCTAAAAACAAGTATAATTCAATTTTTACTACATAATTTCAGTGAAGTTATTGAAATGATCTTTTTAAGGCAATTGGATATTTGTTGATGCGTGGCAATGGTGTTCCAGAAACTAATTCATCTAGTCTAGATGAAGAGTGGAATGCAACTTCATTAAATTATAATCGTAAAACCGAAAACTTCGGCCGAATATTATCGAAATAGGGTGAATTTTCATTTTTCTCAAAAAATATTTATTCATCAATTTTTATTTCGTCCCCGTCAAAGCCATGCAAAAGCCATTATTTGGTTTTCCACAATATCGGGCGTTTTCTTCGTATTGCTTCTCGCAAACGGCGCATAACTCTAAGATAATTCTTCTTATTAAACGTATGACCATGTGATAAGAATTCTTGATGAACTACGCCACAGTAATCGTAGAAAACAGTGAGCAAAACTTTGATATTAGATGGAACTTTGAGTGCTTTTTTTGGTCATGACTCTTCCATTGGGATGACTGAACTTTGGTTTCGATGTCATAACCATATAGCCAAGATTCGTCACCAGTTATGACACATTAGAGCAAATCTGGATCGCCGTTGACGTCATTCAACAATTTCTAAGCGATGTTCATGCGACGAATTTTTTGCTCAAAATTCAGCAATTTTGGAACGAACTTTGCTGTCTGGCTGCTTTCATGTCCTGAATTGACTTTATCAGGTGATGCGACCCCACGCTTGCCAACTGCCTTAAAATAATGACATTTGCTAATAAATAAATAACCTATCTTTCCCAGTTCTTTTTTGGTAAATGAAAAACTGATTTCCAGAATACGGCCGGAAAGAGATTTCCAGTCTTCCTATATGAAGTTGGGGCTCCAGAATGAAGAATCAGTTAGGAAGAAAAAGAGGATGGTCTGTCTCAATTATGTCCCAAAAATGAAAAGGCAGAAGGAACTCAGAAAGATAGGTTATTTATTCATTAGCAAATGTCAAATTGTCAAAATTTTACCGCATATGGCAACCATGGGGTCGTTCACTTAATAAGGTCAATTCACGAAAAATTGCAAGGCTTGAGTCAATCGATATGCCAACATCTTCAGCAAGTTCTCCAAAAGTGATTTGGTGATTTTCCAGAACATTTTTTTCACTTTGACGCTAAACTCATCTAACTTTTATGCCTTTTACCAATAAACATGCTGAAAAAGTCAGCACATATTCTAGGCCAGTGTACCAACAGAAAACATTGAAAATCGCTAATATGTACGTAGCCGCGAAATTTGAAAATCACTTTATTTTGAATAGATCTAGTATGCACCTGTTATATTTGTAAGTATTTCTGTTTAGTTCAACTCAATATTGTTCTGTTCATGTACTGTATTTGTCTCCATATTCTTATTTCATACAGTTGTTAATTTAATATTCCATTTTACTTTGAAAGACTTTGCCAATAAAATGTTCATATATTTTCCTAATAAGAGCATATTCTAATTTGATCTGATAGTTTTTCCCGGATGTTCTTCGAGATAACATTTCTGCTTACATATTGCAAATTTGAACTTGTAACATTTTCAAAATGTAGTAATACTGTAATGCAAGTACGTAAATTGTAAAACTTGGAAGAGGATTGTCTTCAAAGCAGATACAGATACTCCTTGCTCTTTTTACCAGTAGGTGATATTGTTATTAAAAATAAAACACTTATAATGGAAATAATTTATTAACAAATAAATATAAACAGTTGTAAATCATAAAGAAAGAACAATTTCTCGTTTCATAAAATCTTTGCGCTTGCAGCAAATGAATTACAAAAACCATATACAATTTATTAATATGATGGAATGGGCCGTAACTTGATGAAAATCCATATCTAGAGTATTCAAAAAACACTTTGTGAGATTTTAATTTTCACTAAACAGTTATACAAAAAGGCAACACGTATTTCGCCATATAATGGCTTCTTCGGTCGTGTCTTTGCTAACTATATTCAATATATAAATAAAAGTGTTTTTTGAATACGTTATAAAATTTATATTTCAAATATAGATTAATGAAATTACAAATACCATTTCCAATATCTTTTTTCTTGCTTTTTTTTGATTGAATACAAATTGATCTGTTTAAAATCTTCGGTCGTGTCTTTGCTAACTATATTCAATATATAAATAAAAGTGTTTTTTGAATACATTATAAAATTTATATTTCAAATATAGATTAATGAAATTACAAATACCATTTCCAATATCTTTTTTCTTGCTTTTTTTTTGATTGATTACAAATTGATCTGTTTAAAATCTGTTTTTCAGTTAACCAGCTGTTGCATGCCTACGAACAACAACCCTCAGAAGTCGAAACTTGAGCGAGCTAAGGATTAACGAGGTCTTACCTTTTAACGCATGATTCCTAATAGAGTATTTTCATTTTTATATCAAATAGAGTAATCTATTTGACCACTTTATATACAAAATTACATTTATGGTAAGTCATATATACTATATACAATAGGTATTATGTCAGACACTTGAAATGAGCAATGTCTAGATTAAAGTAATGAATTTTACAATACAGATTTTTCATTCATAAGCTTTCGAGCTTTGGTATTTTCACTGTGTAATTTTCTTCTTGTTCATCAATTGTATGTTTTCCATTTACTTTGATATTTACATCAGGTAATTTTGCCTCATCAATGCTTTCTATTAAGCTGTCTAATTGTTTCTCAATCGCCAAACTATCTTCTTCACTAAGTGAGACGATTTTCACTAAGCTTGAAATATATTCTGCTTTACTTATCAAGTTATCATTATTTTGAGAGTCGAATTCAATTTTTATTATTTCAATTTGTTCATTGTGTCCATATTGAGGTTCGAACTTTTTTTTTTTTTTTTTGTTATTCTTCCGATTTGTTCGTCATGCCCGTGGTGGGTTTTCCAATATTTGACGGTTATTAGTGTTTCTCCATCAATTTCTGTTGTTGTTACTTCCAATCTCGAGGGGCAAGCCTTGTCTATTTTATTACTAACGATTGATTTAGCTCCAATATGTTTGGCTTTACTCTTAGCGGAATAGGAGCGATGACAGTTATAAAATATTCTATTGCTTCCATTTTTCAATTGATAACCTGCAGAATCTTGGGTATATAAGGACATCGTACTGTGTTGAATTTCATCTTTCCATTCCTCAAAACCTAAAGATAAAAAATCATTAATCCAATATTTAAATAGAATGAATTTTCACCATAGTAATTAACCTACCAGCAATTGAATTAAAAGTTAATTCTTCATATTCCACATGAACATCATGTTGTTCTAATAAATGTTCTCGCAATTTTTTATAATTCATGAACTCTTCATTACATATCTTATGTGGACATAATATCCTTATCTTTCTAACTGCCCCAATGTTCAAGTAATCCCCCTCATCATCGGTAAGGTGATTTTGGCGAATATGTCGAAGTAATGAGGACAGGTAAGAAAAATGTTTAGCACAAACACTGCATTCAAATTTAGGTACTGGTTTCGATATATATTCTAGCGGCTCTATCTGATGAAATTTTCGTAAATGACGATATAAGTTTTTTTTTTCGGTGAATTCTGTATCGCAAACTGAACATTTACTGCTAGCAGAGTCCATTACTATTCACTCATCCGTCTGTGATTATTTACTAATACTAATAAATAATATGGTACTACTTACTGTCTTTGTATATAGGTTAGTCTATGTACAAAGATACTGAAGAAGAATAGCTTCTTATTTCTGTCTTAGGGTATGTAAAAGTCGCGTTCCATGAATTCTCTCTCTGCAAAAATAGTTTTAAATTTATATATGGAAACGAAATAGTGGCGAAGATGGCGCCACTATTTCGTTCTTCTTCCAATCTTCCATAGAAAAGTTTAACTTATCATTACTCATTTAGATGAACATAGACAAAATCTTTGTATATAGACTCCATATACAAAGACAAAACTGTAAATGTGTAGTGATGTTGTCATAAGTTGTTGAAAGTTTTTCACTTTGAATATTGGTCGACAACTTTCTGGATTGGCCATATTGAATAAAATTATCTTTTCTCTTCTTTGCAGTAAATACTCTTAGAAATTCTCTCGCTCTGCATCAGATCATGATGAGTGCTGAGTAGAACAAAATCAATCGCAACTGAGAACTGAGCCAAGGGGCACCGCTTTGAAACAATACCATAGGTTTCTCTGTACAATTGCTAGGCGAACCTAACTCGTTACGTCAATCTTACACTACATTCTCTGTTTTCAAATTTTTCATTCCAAATATCGTGAGAGTTGTATGAAAGCAAAAAAGGGCTAACGATTCCATGTTTCCATTTCTGACTTCAAACTTGGCAGTCAAGTTCCAACTGTTATGAATCGTTCGTGAAAATTGAAATGACGGACTGTATGCGCACTAAAAAAACAATCCCATTGTCTCGCGCTTTGGAGTGACAGTTCTGATTGTTGACTCTTTTATGATTTAGGTTGGAGCACTACACTTCATCATATATGTTAAAAAGTACAACTCAATTTTTGACAGTATCCCATCTGAAACTATGGGAGTCTGATTCCAACTGTCATGAAACATTAATTACATTTCTTCTTACTAAACAATAATTTTGAGACATGGAACGTAAAATTACTTCTATTTCCAACCTGAAAAATACTAACTCAGCCGCATCAAAGAAATCAAAACCACGAAGTTTAGTGAGAATTTATTGTATAACCTATACTATTTATAATATCCAAAGTATTCCATTGTGCGTCATCAATGTTTTCCAGATTGAACGGAATATTTTATATTCCCTTCACTATCAATAGATGAAGAAGAAGCGCTGAAAGCTCCTTGTGGCCCTTGAGCTGCTCCAGAAACCTCCACGCCCGTTCCTTTGTCCTCTCCAAATCGACTGAAGAGAACCGGTCTGTGGAAAAACAGAGAGTTATGGTCAATAATCAATGCTTCTACTGAAGGAAAGAAATTGATGCTTTGGAAATTAGATAAAATGCAATAAAAAAGAAGCGAGCAATTTGTTAGATTACAAACTTTTGAAAACTGACAATTTCCTCGTCACATTACCAATTTCAGTGGAGTACATTTATGCTCACTTATTTCCAAGTATTTTTATTCCCTCTATTGTTTTAGAATGAACTGTTAGTTCGAAGACTATGTGTGATGTTTGAGAACAATATTGAAGTAGGTAAATTCTTAAGGCTCACTTGCCGATGAAAATAGTTAATACATGACTAATGAATATACTCATTACTCATCTGTGATTGGCCTCGGAGATGGTTGTGTTACTGTGGTTGGTTCAGAGTTATGAGTAATATGAATCATTTTAATCACTTACTCAACACAAAACAGTCCTATCGTTCATTACCCAAAAAGACATACTTCATCCTTTTTTTCAAATAGGTCTCACAAAATTGATTCGGCTGCACAATTTCCATGAAAACATGTTTAGTGAATAGATGTTTGATATAAATGGGACCTCTGGTGTAAAATGAATTTCATCAATAAATCGAATTACTGTCATTGAGGTTGTCTGTGGATTTATTCGATTTTGGCATACTACTATTAGTACCTAATACGGCCGGAAGTTTTGCAACCATGCAAACTACAATTACCATAAGAACTATAGAACCCATGAAGTTTCTCTGTCACAGAACTATAACTTACAGTTATAGTTCCGTGGTGTCTGCTGAAGTATTCTGTGGTATGATTGATTCTATGATTCATAATATAACTTTATGAGTTCTGTGTCACGAACACAAAATTCCAGAAAATAATTCTGTAATCACCAATTACAGGTACGAGTTAAGCTACTGAATACATTTGTTGTGTAAACCTCTGAAATTTTTATTGTTCAAGAGACTATGAAATTCGAAAACAGATATTTTTATTTTACCCACAAATTTTTCATAAATACATTGAAATTGAACACTCTAGCAAAAAACTATGTCAGATTTGTCAAAAACTACTAGGAACGTATTTACACCTGAACACCTTTTGTATAGTGAAACACGTGTTCTGGTTTCCTGAACTACTCAGTGATAATTTCACAATAAAGTGTTCCTTTGATGAAAACAGTATTTTCAAAAATTCAGCCTAATAATGGTTACTCAATAATTTCATGTTGTGTTATTTAGTTTATAAAATAACATCATCACATCAATAAACTTTTCAAATTTTTTTTTTATGATTCATAATAACTCACCCCCGTCCTCCCACCCCTTGTCCTGCACCGAGTCCCCCAGCGTGTCCTTGATTTCCATATCCACTTCCAGTTCCAGAAGAACTACTTGAACTGGAACTGGCAAAAGAATGAGCTCCCCCTTTGGCGCCCCCCGAACCCCCACCAAATCCAGCTGGAAAATTCTGGGCGAAATTGGTGAAGTCAGGAAAGACTAGGCCTGGATCGAAATCTGGAAAGTAAAACATCTATATTGAAAAATTGTGGTAATTTTGTTACCTTTTATTTCCAACTTTTATATACTGACTGACAAGTAGAATATCAAAAAGGTTTTTTGTCTCCAAACATTGTTTCTTACCCCCGAAGTAAGGCACTCCTCCTCCTGCGCCAGCAGAAGAACCCGCGCTGGCGTGAGATGAAGCACTTGCTCCACTTCCCCCACCTGCTCCGTAACCTCTGCGGAATCTCAATAAAGGTTTAAGTATATCTCGCCGAGTCCTAATAGGCACAACGTCTGATCTGTGACCTTCGTGGTCGATTACGTAGAATGATTTAGGGATGTACTGACCTGAAACTGAAGTGAGTCGATGTAGTTAGTACTGGAGAGCGAGGAGGACGGACAAGGACAATTACGACTTGAAGAATAATGATGACTTTCGCACTATCTCATTGAAAACTTCCACTGTTCTTATTGTTCTAACGAGTTAAATAATAGTTATGTCTGTTTACATTATTTGTGAAAATATGTGGTTTCATGAAAAAAACATACATTGTGAATCCCTGCTATTGAACATGTTTTATTATTAACTTGTATAAATCAATGTTTTTCTAAAATATATTCCTGTATAGTATCTTTTGAATAAGGATAGTGAAACCTTTAACTATCAAACGTTTCACCAAAATAGGTATCATTTAAGTCTACCAGAAAAATATTCTAGAAACGAATGATGAGTTTTTGATTAAAACAGAGTTTGCAAGATTTTATCTTTCTCTTTCTAATGATTGATGTGAGACCACTTTCTGTTCTAGGAAATTATTTGAAGGAGTTTCAGGAAACTCAATAATTAACGGGTCTCACTGATCTCCTGATTTGAATCCTCCACATAAAAATTAGGTGATTTCCAATCTAACCTCAGTTTTCTTGACTGTTTTGACGATCTTTGCAATATCTTAAAAATGTTTTGAATTTGCGTAGGTCGACATTGACATTTTTCCATTTATTTATTATCCATTTCGAGAACATTTAGGTATGCATATCAAAAAAGTTATAACGATGCTCATGTTCAATTACTCAAAATAATATATTGTACATAAAAAAAACATGTGTGAACAGATTCACGAAAATCACAAGCTTTCTTCACATATAATATAAAATACACAGTATTTAAAGTAACACTATATAGTTTCAATATTTTCTTCTTCTTAAGTGTTACTTAAAAATAAATTATCATGGATTATAATCAATCCGCAAAGTTCAACATATATCCGAATGAAAATTCGAGTGAAGCAAATAGAAGGCATAATTTGCAATTGCAGAATCAAGAAAAAAGTCTAAATCAAAATAATCTGCTTTTCTTGACATTCTTGAAATTGGAACAAAATTAATATAATGAAAAACCCGACAAATCCACCTTCTGTAGATCCGAGTAATTCAAAGAAAACGTGTAGTATGCAATCGCTGGTATATTTTTGAGTAATTTTTTGGCAAAATACCCGATAAAGATTGATTTTTGGAATCCCGAGATTTTGGTGAAATTGATTCTGTAGAACTTTTTTCAAAAAAGACTAATTATTGGATGTATCGGCTTTTGCATGAAACCATAAATTTTAGCGGTGTTTACTTAAAATTTTACCCAAAAAAAACATGAGTTATGTTTGAAGAAGCTATTGATAGCGAAATACGTGACGCGGTTTTTGTAAAACCCTTATAGTGAAAATCATAGAATAAACTGTATTTTATTAGTTTTTTAAATATGGATTTTCATCAAGTATCAGCCAGTTCTATTCAATTAAAAAAACATCTTTTATTAACACATTTAATATTGCTCATGGGAATATTGTTTAGTAATAATAACAACACAAATATTTTGAATATAGTTTTTGAATATATTTCACCGTTATTTTTCATATTATTATGCACTTTTTTAAATTAATTAAAGCGAAATTCGGTTTTGTCAAAGAATACAAAGCCCATAGAAGCTCACAAGTGGAATTTTCATGTCACTTAAAGTTTTAGTACTTACTCTGTCCACCAGAGGGCGATGACAGTACAATGCCAGCTTTGTATATAGGGTTAGTCTATATACAAAGCTTCTACCTTTGTATTTAGTCTTTATACCAAAATTCTATGGGCTTTGTATTATTTGGTTTTGTTCACTCAACAATACGTTTATAGCTTGCGCTACTACACAAGAGGTGACAGTGCAATACAACACAACAATAACGATTTATCGGGTTTTGTTTAAAACGGGAAACTTCATATACGATTTTGTATGAACGATTTTGTATGACATACATCTGATTTTACTCGAGTCTAAATTCATGTATCGACAAAAAGCTTTTCAATTAATATAAATCGATGTCCAACTCGTTTTTCACAAAAAGTGTATTTATTGGGTTTTGCGTGATTGCTCCACAATTCTAATATCACTTCAAAATGACCACCCCATCTCGAATGTTAAACCTTATGTTTCATGTATATCATGTCATGTGTATATTCAAATGAATGAAAATTACCAAGGTGAAAATGAAATTCATCAGTTATTTATGATAATTTTAATTATCTCTAATAATTAATTACAATATTCTCTGTTACTAACGAGTAAAACAATAGGAAGGCTACTTATTATCGCAATTATGTATAGTGATGATGGAGGTGAAATAACTGAAATAGACAAAGAATTATTTATTATCCGGGGATCCCCTGTACCTCAATCAACAAAGAAAACAAGGAAATGTTTCCCTTTTTTGTTTTAATGCACTGTATTCAGCACAACTGATGCGTGCATAATATGACTTGTTTCCAGAGAATAATTATTGACACGGGGCCAGGAGAAGAGTAACACACCCTGTATCTCGGCAATATCCTGTTCGCCAATCAATTAAAATTAAATCAAGTAGGCAATAATAAAACAGCAGGAAACAACAAAAAGCTCTCAAAACAATTAGGAACACGGCCAATACATTAATATCAATGAATAAACACGTTTAATTTTTAACAAGGCGGTTTTGTTCGATTGTTTACCGAGAATATTAATTATTAAATTGCACTTAGGTATTGTTGAAATCATCGACCATTTTACACTCAATTCCGTGATTTGTCTGAATGAACCAAGGTCATATATGCGTCGACCTGAGAGGAAATACCCAAAAATTTAATATATTTACAATGGGTAATGGCTGAATAAACAGATGACTGGTGTAAAATTAATGGATGATTTTTGAAGAGGGTTACTTATAGTACAGTGAAATTTAATAAGAAAATGCTCTACGATAAAAGTGTCTTTTACGCTCTACAGCGTGACCCGTTTGAAATGGAAGCACAAAAATATATATGCTAGGAAGTGCGTTAGGATCAGTGCTTTGTACAGCCCTACACATTATCTTGTTGGGAGTACTGGATGGGACAGCCCTGATGAAGGTAACCTGATAGGTTTACATAAGAGGATGATACATTCCTTTGTGTGGAAAGTGGAAAATATGTTTAAGTGAGTCAGTCTGAAACTGACGTTGTTGTTGGATAGACTAATAAATATTATGAAGTAGGTGATGTTATGAGTGTTTTCATCGTTATTAGCCAGTGAGGCATTCCTAACATATATTTTTCAACCGATTGGAATCTTTTTATTTTTCTTTAGATAGGCATTCGGGAAGTCTACTAGAAAAGCAACTTTTATAAAACGAGTCATCGTTTTAAGGGGCAACTTTTATTATTTTTCAATGTTAAAAAATTATATTAGCGTTTTTTTAATTCGACCAGACCACTAGATTCACGTGTTTTTATTCATTGCACGACTTGGAATACAAACAGAGTAAATCCAAAAATATCATCATTTTACATATGAAAGATGTGAGTAAACAATATATAAACACTAAGTACATTACACTATAGTTACGAATATGAGAAAAAATTAAATAAACGATTTACGAAGAACTAATTATAAATGAAAATAGACTTCACGCAGTTATTAAATGTAATATACCCCTTACACGTCAATAATATTTTGACGGCTCCTCAATATATTGACGAGACTTCAATAAAATTGATTTTTCTTTTTCAATATTAGTGCCATCACTATTATTGTTTCAGATTAATTCTTACACGTTCAATATATTGATCAATATCGATATTGCTTCAATAATATTGACCGTGTAAGATAGCCTTAAGGAAGGGTAACCTCTGTTTTTCAATATCCATGCAACAACTACTGAAAGATCTGATAATTAAGATCTGATAATTCCGCATGAAGGAGAGTTTTACCTGCATTGTTTTTTTCTGAATGGTGTATCATGATGTATTCAATGAAATTTTTGTTATCAACTATGGACAATCGACATTATTATTACATATTTTGTACAACATTATTATATCTGACATTTTTCTCCTATCGAAAGAAATGTCTGTTTTAGGGCTAATTGTTTGACGAATTTATTTTGAGCACTTTCAATTGTCAGTTGGGAAATCGTATATTGCAGACTCCAACAACAGATGCAAAGTTCAAGCGACCATATATGTGAGAGTAATTCAGATTTACCTGAGTTTTTGCATTGCTGAAATGTCTTGTTTTTCTGATAATGAATCCCAATAAACAATTTTGGAATCCATTATAATTCCTGAGTCGCTTACTTCATTTACTGTTTTAATTGTATACTTTCCTATTTGGTTTTGAAAATCAATAGGGTTTCTATTTTTGGTAAAAGTTATTTCGAGGTATTTACCGTGATTCAGGTATACTGCCACAGAGATTTCTGCAAATGCATCAAGGATATGTTGCAATCTCTCACAGTCTAACACCTTACAAAACTTTAACTGAAGTCAGAAGACATCAAATAGGGCCTCGGTCATACAAGGCCCACTCATGAATAGATATTCTATTAACTGGCAAAAAAACCATCCTGCAATATATGTGAGACAGACCTCTCAGTAAAACACGTATCAGTTTGATCTTCCTCTTGATATAATACGAAACTGACGTTAATATCTATTAAGGTCAGCAGATTCCACTCGTAATTCAGAAGAGACTGCAATTTCAAGATGAGTATACTTCAAACTGAAGCTTTTCCATTTAAAACTTCTTAATAGAGTTTATTGTGTGAATTTCACTATAAAGGGTTTTACAAAAACCGCCACACTTGTTTCGCCATACAATAGCTTTCTCGAGCGTTATAATAAGTTAATAACATATTAATACCGCTGGAGAAAGCTTTAGTTTTAAGTTTAGCGAAACACGTGGCGCGGCTTTTGTAAAACCCTTTATAGTGAAAATCATATAATAAACTGTATTAAGGGTTTCAATATGGATTTTCATCAAGTATCGTTCAATTTTATTCAACTATTCAAAGCTTTTCATTTTTATTTATGATTAAAATATCGTTTTCGAATCAGTCTGAGAGACTACATTCGTTTTTCAAAATTTTTGTAAGTTAAATTTGTATTGCGGATCACTCTGTAGATATATGTGAAAAATCGATGTTTTGGGTCAAGCAAACTTTATTAATGTTTGTTTGAAGGTAATTGACAATGTTTATATAATATCAGACAATGGAAGTCCGAACGAATGAAACTTCATTGAGTTCTAAATTTTCCAATAAAATATCGTTTTCGAATCAGTCTGAGAGACTACATTTGTTTTTCAAAATTTTTTATTGCGGATCACTCTGTAGACATATGTGAAAAATCGATGTTTTAGGTCAAGCAAACTTCATCAATGTTTGTTTGAAGGTAATTGACAATGTTTATATAATATCAGACAATGGAAGTCCGAACGAATGAAACTTTATCGAGTTCTAACTTTTCCAATAAACTCTCTCCACTTACGGACTTAATAAGTTCATTCATAATTCCTCTCATATACTCTCCCTTGCATTGATTTCAAAGCTTTGATTTATATTTTTTTTGTCAAAACTTTACACAAGCTTAAAAGGGCCATCCAAATTTCATCATCAAAACCTCGAATTATTTCTCAGGTATTCAACTATTTACCCGAGTTACAACAAAAATACGGCTTCGTAAAGTGAATTTTCAACTTCCCCAAAACAAAACAAAATTACTCACATGCCCAAGTCGCCCCCACAAACGCTAACACCAAGTACACCGTCACAGCCATAGCGATGTTCTCAAAGAGCCAACTCGAATGAAACTACTGAAAATGGTTATAAACAATTTATACTCGAGCTTGCACCGGTGTATTTTTATACAGTTACCTGCGATCACTTAGTTTGCAGAACAAAAAATTGATTGCTTACGTAATAGATCGTTTTATTCAAATCATTTTTTCTGGTCGAATTCAATTTCATCTTCGATTACTTTCATCTGTTCTGAGAAGCTGCGGTGAATATATTAATACATTGTTTATGGACTGGCAAAATAGAATTATCTCATCGTTAAAGCAGAGATGATTGAGATCCTGGAAATGCCGAGTTTAATGCTTAGATGGAGGATGTTAGTTTGTTGTAGACAAGAGATGGTTTAAACTGATAAGATATATAGATAGATCCATTGCACTTTTTTTTATTAACTTACGAGTGTCAGAAATAACATATTAGGTTTATTGGCTCAAAAATAAAAAGTTGAAATGGAAATAGTAAATTTGCTGTAGTAATGAAACGTAGATTTCACAAAAAGTTGAAAGAAGCATAGCTAGCTAAAACAAATTAAATGATAAACGAGGAGGAGGTTAGATTTTATAAAAAAAACACTTGACAGTGGAATACGATGATTGATTCTGAGTCAGAAAAATGTTTACAAGTGGTACACAGAATGTCGAGAAAATGTGAATGATAACGCTCGCCTTGGAGGCCCCATCACATCAACAACCAATGGAAAGGCCACGAAATTCTTTTGGAAATTTTGGGCATGAAGCGTGTGGCAGGAATTTAAAATAATTATGAATTTGAGATTTATTTCCGAGTGAAATATGAATCAAATATAGATGGTAATGAAATATCTAATCTAGTTAACTACAACTAATCAATGGTAATTAACTATGAAAAATATACTATTCATTTCATGTTTAGAGGATACATATGAATATTTATTAATTTTTTGCACTGTTAAATCCACTCTCCTCGAAGCATGTATCCATTTCTTACATATAACCTCATTAATATGAGGTTTTAATAAATGGTATAAAAACACGTTTTCTTCCGGATATCGATTATCCGACGTACAATTCGCAAAACAGCAATGCTTTGTTGGCATTATACTAGCCCAAAATGCTTTTTTATATCAGATTTATATTTTTAAAGAATAAATTAATATTACGTAAATAACACTGTTTTACATGTGAATGGTTTATTGTTTGTCCCTACTACTAGTGCTGCCTCTCGTGGCACGTTCGCTGTACTATTCTCAGGAAAAAGGCTCATTGAAAGTGAGATAATCCTCAATTGAATAAAAACATTTTCCAGCAAAAAGTGTTTCTAAGTACATACCCAGGAATTTGGCTGTATCAGATAGTTGGACGTTTTTAAGATTCAATGTCTTTCTCAAGGAGAAACCCAAGTAAATTATTTTATTTGCATTCAGTTTTAGTTGGTTTCTGTCACACCAAGAAACCATAGCGTCCATGACCGAGTTTATACTGAATTCTAACTCATCTATTGTGTTACCAGACACTGATATGTTAGTGTCATGTGCGAACATAACGGTGTAACCATGTTTGATATATTACGAGAGATCATTTTTATAGATTGAAAACAGCAGCGGTCCTAATATTGAACCTTGTCTATATTTTTTGTACGTAGCTCAAGATTGGTTTTGCCAACATTTTCTCACAATACGTTTGTGTGACGGAAAAACTTTATTTGCTAGGGGGATATTTCCCAAAATATCAATGCATAAGATAGAGTTGACAGTATTCGAGCGAAGTGGAAAACTCTGAGTACGTCAGAGCCAACTGAATCATTCAATTTTCATAACAAATTGCATATTCTAATCAATTTTCTAATTTAACCGGTGATATGACAGTTTCTACACCCAAAAACTTAGTACTTGAGCACACAGGAAAAAATTTTGAAGCAAGTTTCATGAATACATCACTGTGACGCTTCATACGATTGCAGTATTGCAGAGCTTCCGTTTTGATAAATGTTTAACCACCGACATTTTATCGCACCAATTCAGCATTTCATTGAACACTTTTGTTGCCTCATTTGAAACATTCCTGAGATTTTTCAGTCAGATCATTCATATATAATAATGGCCCAAGAAGAGATCCTTGGGGTACCCAATGTTGATATTTTTTGCAAACGAGTAGAACTCCTTGATATGACCCTCTATTTCGAACTTTAGGAAAACCTGAAGACTTCGTTCGATTAAAAAGGATGTGAATAGCCTCAATTCTACACCTCTGATACCATAACATTCAGGAGAGTATTATGATCAAGAGAATCAAAGACTTTTGTGAGATCAAAATAAAACGCAGCCAACTACTGGTGTAGATAACTTACAGCAAGCAAATGCTAGGTGCTGTAGGCTTCTAACAAATGATATTCTCCAGAATGTAAGGGAGAAAATAAAAGTTTGTTCATAATTGAATTCAAACAGAGGAAAAAAGCTGTACCGACAGCACTGCGGAGATCTTATAATTTTTTGACACAGAACATCCATTTTACAATTCTGAAACACGGTGTTCCGTGTCGAAATTGTCGTGACGTGTCTGTCTCGCGTGGAGTCTAGATTGAAGATTTCAAAGTATTCGTGGCACTTGCGGTAAATCCATGTTGTAGATGTAGATTAGTGGGGTATTTGTAGTCGTAACTTTAGTGGTGGCAGGGGCAACAACTATTTACCTGTTCCTTACCATACGGTAGTACTCGTACGGTTTAATATTTAACACAAGACTCAAAAAAAAAACAAAAAAATGGTAAAACCTGTTAGAAAATCCTCGAACAAAAATCCTCCTATTCTAAGCCACGAATTTATAATCCAAAATCATGCTGATATTGTGTCTTGTGTGGCAATGGTCTTCGTCGTTGGCCTTATGGTACAAGTGAGTACTTTTGAAAAAGCTTTGAACCTAGGTTAGAGTGTAATGTTTGATTGTTATTCGCAGGCGACAACTCCAATAGCTTCGATTTTCATTACTCTGCAACACAATGTAACTGAAGCTGGAGAAGTGCCTCTATTTAGCCCAGGCATCAAAGATTGGGCCTGTGTATTTTTCTATAGCTTGATCTGTATTGTGATTCATGCTATTATTCAAGAGTACGTTCTCGATGTAAGTACTAGGGAAATTTTCTTGACATATGAAGCATTTTTCAAATTTTTTGTGCTTTAGAAAGTATCCAAGAAGTTGCACCTTTCTAAATCCAAGCTGGCAGTGTTCTCTACAAGCGGACAGCTGCTATTTTTTTATGTGGTTTCTGCAGTATGGGGCATCGATGTTATCATTAAGGAACACTATATTTTTGACATTGCCAGGCTCTGGTCTGATTACCCTGCGCCGATGTCCTTTTTGTTGAAGCTTTACATCATCGTGCAGCTGGCTTATAATCTCCATGAGATTCCCGAGCTGTACTTCCAGAAAACAAAGAAGGAAGAATATGCCAGCAAGGCTACCCAAAGCATTGCAGGGATTCTGTTGATATTCATTCCGTATTTCCTAAGGTAAGGTGGCTAGTTTATTCTAATTATAGAAATGGGAACTTAATGCATTATTTTCAGTTTCAACCGACTGTTGGTTTGCTTGTTGGTCCTCCATCATGTTTCGGAAATCTTCAATCATGCTTCTCAGCTCATCCAAACTGTGGATAAGGAGGAAAAATTCACTAGAGGTAAGTTCAGTATGCTGCCTTGAAGTTGTTTTATGTTCAAAACTAGGTCAAAGCATTTCTGTGTTACATTTAGAGACCTAGTGTTATTTTTTGAAAGTTAAGCACATGTTGAAGTGAAGGGAGAATGCTCTTTACTATATAGACATAGGGCATACAGTGAGGATATGCCGAATATGTCCCATATGGATTAACTATATTGTTTGCAGACGGTTCTTCAGTGGTCGTGTCAGCACAAACTCTAGAGGAACTGGAGACGCAGATACTCAGTCACCAGTGCATTCAGAGCTTGTGTAAGACAAATTATCTTATTCTGAATGTTGACAAAGCAGTGTGACTCAATTTTAAATACAGAAAGAATTTTCCCAGTTTGTCTTCTAAATTACAACTCTCCGATTGATACAAATTTTCAGGGCTTCACCTTGATATGAATCTCAGGTGATACACTTGGCTACAATTTTTTTTTTCATCAAATATTCATTGATCAATTGTCTTCTCTAACATCACTTTATAATTGGGGGACATCTGTGAATTCAGATAGAATTTTTGTTTGTCAAAATTAACTCTTCTTATGTCTAATACTAGTGCATTATTTCATCTTCTTGGGATAAATAAATGTAATAAATCTTCGTTGAATTTGAAGATTGAGAACAGTTTCATGAGAACTCTTCTGTGTTTAAAGATAACATTTTTATATTGACACATGAGAACTTTTAGGTCACAATGTAAAAGTTTTATATTTGATATAAAATTCAGAGATTTTTTTTTAACTCTCTTTATTCTTTTTGTATGAATTGTTATACTGGGGATTTACTGCTTCCAAACCATTGACACTTTGATGTGTTGATGTTTGTGAGACTCTCGCTATGTAATAAGCTTTCTCAATCATTTTCATAGTGAGTATGAAAGCATTATTTGAATACGTTACGGATTTTCATCAAAAATCACAAATGTTTTTGTATATTTTTTTCAAGGAACTAGGGCGGTTTCGAACATCTTGCAGCTCATAGCACGCGTAGTGAGCATTGTTTTGGCAATTCTAACCCTCTGGTACGGCCTGGCTTTGGGAGAGCAGAAGAACCTCGACTTCCAAGCTGGATACTACAACACTCCCGTTATCCGCCTGGCTGTCTTGATCGGCATTCTAGGGCTCCAAATGTGAGTAAAATGCTTTCAATAAAACCAATAACTTAAGTCTGAATGTGAAATTTTCAGACGATTTCACTGATAAATGTTATTTCTTCCCTTTTTGGTTAATTTTCCATATAAATTGACTGGTTATTAGATTTTTTTATCAGTAGATGTTATCTTTGTAGCTCGTGACTTGCCATAAATATTCGTATTCGTGACTTGCCATAAATATTAAGTACTCTACACAACTTACTAAATTCGTAATGTTTGATTATGTTCTCATTTCTATTTGTATATGTTTTCTATAATTATTTTCCAGGTTATATCAGGGCCGAAAACTGAATCTCGTATTTTTTCCAGGTTCCTGACCTTCAATGTCATCAAACAAGAAATCGAGAGGTCTCGCGAGTTGAAAGCCGCCACTGCCGTCCCCAAAACGAAGGTGCAAAAGAAAGAAAAGAGCAAGAAAAGTACGTAGCAGTTTATATAAGTAGCAGTATTTACGATTTTCTTCGTGGTCCTGTGTCTGACTTGCCATTCTCTGTTCCAGCCAAGAAAAGTGAGGAATCTGATCTGCCTGAAGTCGATCAAAACACCAACAAAACTTTGAGGAAGCAGAAGGTCAAGTAGTTCGGTAATTAGAGGCAATCAAGTGTGCTAGTTTATTTTGTTTGTGCAACGTCTCTCTTTTACACCACATCATCAATTTTATTTATTCGTATTGATTTTTACGATATATATGTTTTTGTTGTAGATTCGGAACCTCTATTTTAAATTTATTTTTTCTATTTACTTATGATTTGTATGCGCCGTACAAAGATCCCTCCACTTATATACTTTTTGAAATTAAATTGAATTATTACAGTGAGCGTTTTAATTTTTATACCTGACTTCAATCTCATAATTTTTACTTTTTATGTCGGAATTTCCAAGGAACCGTTAATAAAACCTGTGGCCCTTCCATAGATACTGATTCCTAAATATCCATTTTTCAATTTATGGACATAGTTATGAAATGCTTTGTTGTTTGTGAATTTTTAATGTAATTGAGCTATCCTAGATTTCTAGATGGAATTATTATGCCTTTGTTAAGCCAATGCTTCAATTTTGGTTTTAATGGCTTAGTAGGATTGAAAGGAGTTCAAACACAAGAGAAAAATAAAAGTTTTATTTGAGACTAGTTGACAAAAACTTAACAAACAACTTGGGTATGTGCTCAGGATTGGGAGCGTGAGTTCTTGAATAACTTATATATTGTCTCCTAGCACTCATCAGTTGTTGCACACTTATGTTGGACACGTCAACACTCAAGTCCTGATAGCCGGGCACTTCCACTAAGCCGTGTCCACCTACATTCACTACTTTTATCAACTCATCCACAATATTTTTTGTAACCCGGTCCAAGTCGTACAAAAAGTTCGTGGACTTCAACGGTGGATTCTGGGTCGACATATTTGGCTTCGGCCGGCCTTTGTTGAAGAGGCTGGCAAAAATTGCGGCAGTGTCCAGGGTGTGTTCGGGAAAGACCATGAACAGAGGCGAGTCCCATCTGTTCTTTCCTTCTGGGTCTTCAAATCGCATCAAGAGTGCATCGAAGGTGGCTCTGTCGTACTTCTCCGACTCGTTTTCTCGATTCTCATTGAAGTTCCAAGCTTGATCCCGGTTGATTTCCGTGTGAACTGTGCATTGTGTACATTTGTTAGCTTTCGTACCGCAGAATAGCTCATACCTAGAATAGAATTCTATGAACTAACAAGCTCTCAGACTAGTAATATTTTACAGACATGAAACCTCATGAGGTTCTCGAAAAGCTGATTTTATATTTGCTCATAACATTTTTGTGTACAATTTGTGAGTAGTAATAAATCAAAAACTTGTGATTGGTGCTCGACGGCATACCTGTAACCTTTTATGTAGTTCAAGGCGTCTAGAATGACGACGTTCGTTGGCGTTATTAATCTTAGCACTTCCGACTTCAGAACACCGCGAATGTGTTTCTCTTTATTGGAATCTGCATATAAGGAGGTCTTTTCGAAACCAGCTCTGATCATTTGATCATATTCGCTGACTATGTGTACCTCTTTTCCTTGCTCTTCGAAGAATTTTTTTAGTTCCAAACTTCTTGTAGTTTTTCCACTACTGGGAATACCTGTAATAACTATAAAAGGCATTTCAAATTAAATTAATACACAAATGTAACCTCAGTCTTCAAAACTGTCATGATGTCTATGTTGTCTCTTTGTCTTTCTCTCCCTCTCTTTCTTTATGTCTTCACGTCTTTCGCTTCCATAGGAGTGTTCGTTTAAACGAATCGGAGCAAGCAATTTGCTCGCTTTGCTGAGCAATGCAGATCTGTTACCTGTTATATCTGTCCAGCGTTATTGAAATGTGAAGTGTCTAAAAAAGTGATGAATAAATGACCCCCTTTATTCACGCCGGTATCCAGGCCGGGGGTTCGGATAACCACGTAAAGGGGGCTGTATATGTGGAAAAAAACCAAAAGGTCTCCTAAGCAGGAAACGACTTAAAAAAAATAAAAACTTCTGTTTTTTTTTATAAAAAGTTCGATAAAAAGGGTTAGCAGCATTGCTTCGAGCAAGACCGCTGCACCCCCCCGACGAAGCTTCTGTCAATTCGATAGGAGGAGCCTGGACAAATGCGCCCGAGTGGGAAGCAACTTCCAACCAATTTAGAGAGAGGTATTTTTTGGGAAATTATCAACTTCTGGTGCAATTTTTGACACGTGTTTGTCAGCACTTCACTGTTTTCTGAAAAGAGTTTATAACACATTTTTATTGACATAATAATGGCTAGTCATTCTTGAATAGATATAAATTCATAGTTATAAATTACAGTTCTGTTGTAGAAAAAAAAATTCATCGATTTGAAAATGAGTTATCGGGACTTGCAACTTCAAACATAGCTCAGAACTGAATAAAATGTAATATTTTTGCATACTGTATATATAATATACAAGGTATAAAATCGAACTAAGTTCGGAAAGCGTGTAATATGAATGATAAAAATTGATTTGTTTGTCCAACCTAGCTGGTCTTCTTGAGATGCAACAACAATTAAACATACATGTACGTAGGTGATTATTTTCAACTAAATAAAGAATAATATCGCACTACAAATGATATATGAATTGTTGTCAAATTTCTCAACGACAGCTCTCGTTACACTTCTTACTGTATGTATCCCACGTTTGTCGTTCTAAATATTAAGAGTATTTTCAAAGCTTTTGCAATCACTTATCTGTATCGATTTAAGACTGTTCATGACACTAGAAGAAATTATTTTATTTTTTATTGTATAAAATCTTCTGATAATCTGGCTATTGTTGGAAATGAGTGTTGGCAAGATCCCGCAGTGATGACATTATGCACTCTGAGATATGATACCAAAAAATGGGGATGTGACCTTACGGGTTGTAGCTATACTGTATCTCTAGGTTTTGTTCTATGGCCATTGCTCGTAACAACAGTAAAATTGAGACGAAGATAAATTTAGGTTAAAGTGAAGCGGTTTAGCAGTGAAAATTTTCAGTGAAATTCGAATTTGAAATAAATTTTACTCATATAATATATTATAATGTCGAAGTCGAACAATTTGAGACTAACAATAAATTTATCAAATTTTTTTTGTGATCATAGGCACAGGGCAAGGATTTTTGTTAACGAAAACATTGAAACTATACAAGATTTACATAATAAAATATCTCAAATTTTTGGAATCGACAATTTCTATTTAATTTCTCAAGATGAGTTCCTTCCTCCCTCTGAAAATGTTGGAATGCTCCAAAATGGGGAAGTTCTTTGGTAAAAAACTTTTTTTTATATAAATTTGTGTGCTTGTGTTTTGTCCTTTAAAAAATGCGCCAAAAATGTCATTGGTTTTATACTCCATTACTAGACTGTACTTTTATATTTCTAGTTCTCCATCATTATATATAAAGTTTTGTGGTTGTGTGGTTTCAAAGGAAAAAATAAATATATCAATACTAATTTATTACAAGATGTGTAGATTATGCATAGAAGTTGTTACCGCTATAAGCTGAAAGAATGGCTGCGAAAAGCATTGCTCCATGCTCCATTTTGATAGTACAATTTTTCCTTTTTTTTCCTTCTCTTTGGAAGACCTCTGCAGTTATTCCAATACATAAATCAAAGGATATAGAGAACTATAGACCAATTTCAATATTTCCCAGCAAAATTTTCATGGTCAAACACAATCAAAATATATCCCTAGAGTTCCCAATAACTTCAGGAGTTCCTCAAGGCTCTGATTTGGGGCCTCTACTGTTTACATTTTTCATTAATGATCATTCATCTGTGCCGAATTATTATTATTTGTGTTGATTGATTTCTAGAGATTCCAATAAGTTTAATGTTTGTCTTTTATTTTCTGTATGTGCTATTTTGTATTCCAGGAAATTGTGGTTATTCTCTAAAAGGTGGCAAGCCTAGGTGGAATTGGTTCACTTCAGTTCAAAACTTCTTTTGTTCTGAGATTCTTGTTTTGAAATTTCTTGAAGTCGTTTCTATATTCTATATAAAGTTCATAGTGTGAAATTTGTATAATTCTCATCATAGAATAGTCACAATGACACAAACACCGGTTCTGCATTTTGTGAACATCGCTATAGTTTGAAGGCTCAAAAAGTTTGCAAAAACTAGATCATTCTGAAAGGTCAGTTTGATACACTTCAATATTGTAAAAAATGTAGGATTTTCATGATTACCAACATTTCCAAATCAAAATCCACTGCACCTTTTGTTAATTTCAAGGGCAATGCCAGCCAGGCCAACTGAAGCAATCCAAGTATTGAATGAAACTCGGTCAGCTATTGAGAACAATGTTTCCAGCAAGTCCAGAAAAAAAATCAGCTTGCAAGTCGATTCAACAATCGAAAAACCAAATAAATCCAAGAAAAGAAAAAAATCACGCCATGCACTCGAAGACACCTTGGAAGAAGAAATGATTCCAGAACCCGATCAAGATCGACAGAGTAAGAAAAAAAAGAAAAAGAAAAAAAGTTTATCGGAAAGTGAGTCTTTTGAAGTGATTTTAACAAGTGAATCGCCAGAACCTAGTAAGTATATTTCATGTATCATTTTGCAAATTCTGCTAAAACTGCTATTTCCACACACTTAGGCCAAAATCTAACATTTCCTTGTACAACCAGTACAAATATTATTATTGTACGCTCTTTGAGAAAGGACCGATTACTGAAGCCGAAATTCATGCTTCATTGAGATTAATGAAAAATAAAAATTCGAGTGAATCAGATGACCTGTCAATACCAGTTGTGAAAGAAATATTTCACCTTATTGTATCTCCCCTAATTTATCTAATGAATCAATTCTACAAGCTAGGTTACTTTCTAGGAGAGTTCAAGAAAGCCTTAGTCATTCCTCTTTTAAAAAAAGGAATTAGAAATGACCTGAATAACTACCGACAAATTTCATCACTTTGTTCTCTTTCGAAATCCTCAGGGATCTGTCCTCGGTCCTTTGCTGTTTATATTATATATAAATGATCTGGTATATATAGGCAAATTCACAAGTTTTGCTGATGACACGTCTATACTTTCGCGTAAAAGAAGCACTGATGCACTGAAAATTAGGGTAGAGCATGATATAGGCAAAGTTAAACAATGTTGTGATGCCAATTAATTATCTTTCAATATATCAAAGACTAATATAATGTCATTTAAATGTAATCTGGACCATGTAATTCTTGAAGAACACATCATTGATCATTGGCAAATTTTTAGGCCTCAACATAGACAATAAATTGAAATTTGGAAAGCATATTAGTATACTATGCAAAAAATTATCCTCAAGTCGTTATGCGATAAGGTCTATCTCTAACTCTTTGGACTATCACTCTGCTAGAAAAGTATACTTTGCACTTTTCAAATCCCACTTGAGGTACGGAGTTTGTTTCTGGGGAAGCAGCTGTCAAAACTTAATGAATCAAGTTTTCACAATTCAAAAAAAAACAGTGAGCTTCATTACCAGAGCTGGAGTCCAAGCTTCCTGTAAGCCCCTTTTTTTAAATCATCACATCTTAACAGTCTACTGCCTCTTTATTTTAGAAACAGTCTGCCTAATGCACAAAAAGCACAAAAATAACATCTCAATCTCAACTCAAAGTTATGTCACTCTTCTCACATTCAATATTCCTCTTCCTAGCCCATTAACAGCACAAATTAAAAACTTGATTCTTTATAATAGCAAAAAATATTTCAATCATCTCCCCTTTTCAATCAGAAAGTTAACCTGCTACAAACATATTATTATTTCCAATTTTCATCATCAAAGTGTGTTTCTGAAATAGCCGATTTTTCAAATTTTACGTGCCCATCTTTGTAAAAGTAGACAATAGTGCCAACTTATGGCAAAAATATACAGTGTGACCCATTTTTAATTAAAACACCCCCCTAAAATTTGAAGTTGTGAACCGATTTTAAATTTTTTTTTTTTTTAAATGTCAAGTACTGAAAGGTCTACCTTGGGACAAAATTTGAAATGTTTATTAAAGTTTCAAGGCATACTACGATATTTTTTCTTAGTCGAAAATCGGGATTTTTTATTAGCGATTTTTTTATTGAAAAAATCACTACGCCACTAATGTAAATTAAGTTTAACTATCTTCACTAAACGACGATACAGGAACCAAACTAATCAACCCAACCAATAGGAACGAAGCCATGCCTAACACTGATGAAATTTAACCGGAAACCGGAACCATGATAGTAAACATTATGTGACTCTAACTTATAAATATTATTGGAGTTGAATCCCAACACTAAGAGGAAGATGATCACTTGGTAATTGAAACATGTCAAGCCATCCGCAACGCCCTCCGCAGGGAGGGCGTTGTGTAGCTTGGGTGTCCAATAGTNAAAAATCCCGATTTTCGACTAAGAAAAAATATCGTAGTATGCCCTGAAACTTTAATAAACATTTCAAATTTTGTTCCAAGGTAGACCTTTTAGTACTTGACATTTCAAAAAAAAAAATATTAAAATCGGTTTACAACTTCAAATTTTAGTGGGGGTGTTTCCATTAAAAATGGGTCACACTGTATAATTAAAAATTGAGGAGGAAAACAAATATTAACAGAGTTTTCTTTATTAGAAGATAATCCAAGAGCTGACATTGAGAAGGAAGCTAGTAACAGAATTTCTTTCGGAAGAGCACCAAGAAGCAGTCCACTCTTCCATAAGAAGAACGTAACAATTCCACTGAGTACTGATCAGTATTTGGAAAAAAAGAAAATCAACATTGTCAGAATCGACTATATCAGGGGAGGTCCACCTGATCTTGAACAGAAGAAAAACGAAGAAAGTCCAGAAGAGAAACATGAGCAAATGGATACTGAAGAAAATCGAAGTGAGGAACTGCCAAAACCTGTCAATGAATTAGCAATAGAAGAAGTGGTTACAGAAGCACCCGTGACTGCGTGCAAAGAAGCTTTAGGCGCTAAACCGAAGGTGACTCTCAACAACTCAAAATCAGATATTTGCGAAACAGTCCCAGAGACTGTCTCACCGAACAAGTCAGACTTGAAATCTGCGACAATTCTACCATGGCCAAGAATTTTCAGAACTCCAAAATGGAGAAAGCAACAAGCTGAGGCAGAAAAAAACATAAAATTTCATCAGGGAAACCTTGCATTAGTACCTGAATATTCTGATTCTGAATCAGCCAAAGAAAAGACAGTTCTCAAGGAAGATTCTCGAGATAGTGACAAAGCACCCCTGGAGACAAATCATGTGTCAGAGAAAAAGACTGAAGATGTTTACTCTGCAAGAAACGTTGTCCTAGAAGCAGAGTCAGGTCCTAGCCAGTCAGAACTTGAAGAAGTGTCGACGTTTTCTTCAAGTTACGTGGACTTGTCTTCTATATCCGAAGATAAGTTGCTGCAAACCTCCTTTGACGTGTATGAAAAGCGTTCGAAATTGCCATCTGAAACCTGTAATACAGATTCATCACTAGGGATGTCTGGTGTGCAGAGGATTCGTGAAGGAGGAAATATTTCACAAACTACACCTAAACGATTTGATCTCCACAAACTTTATTGAAAAAATATATCACATGTTTCGCTAAACATTAGCTTTTTCAAGTGATTAATCACATGATTATTCAAGTGATTAATCACTTGAAAAAGCTAATGTTTAGTTTAGTTATGTTACATTGTCTCATACATTCAAGAGAGATAGCTGACTTGGAGGCAATATGGCTAATATATAAAGTTGAATTTCTTATTTTTGGTGGGTGGTATAAATGCATAACTGATTTATTTTATTAGGGTTCATAAACCTTTAGAGCCATTTGAAAATATAGCTCGTTAAATTCTATTTAGAACCATTGTTTTCGAGTACATTTTATTTCATATCGAAGCGGGACTAGGCCCGTGACGTCACGGGCCTAGAAAATCCGATTTTTAATAATTATTTACAGGAAAACAACGCTAGTTAGAGAGCTGAAACAAAGTACACTATTTTTCAATTTGAAATTACTACCAAATGAACTGTAAACCAAAAATCATGAAACAAGCCCATTCTCAGGTGCCCTACTCGATGACCTCAGACACGCAGCGTCCGCCATTTCGCTAGAGTCCACCTACGAGACAGACGCCAGCGAATTCGTCACGAAAAGGGTACGCAAACGCAGCCGCAAGAGGCAGAAAAAATCTCACGAACCCGTTAATAGCGTCACCTCGTCAAAAATAGGACCCTCCCAGCCCCGACCGATGAACGTCCAAGGATCTCCTCGGTTACACATCAAGTTCGGGGCGGATGGCGAAGCCGAAAAATTAGAAATGAAGCCTAGAACTGAGGTCGATGAAACCGAAAACGAAAGCACGGCATTTCTCACGGAAATCGGGGACGGGCGTAAGGTTGAAGAGACAGACATCATGGCGTATCCATTGATGACGACTATGGAGCCGAAGGCTCTGGACGTGATCGCGTTCAAGGTATGTAATTTATTTATTCATTTATGAATGGAAATCTTTCAGTTTATATAATGTTAGGTGCGATATACATGTGTTGGGTTATTTGGAAAGTTTTGTCGGGGAGCTAGCCCGTGGCTTGATCCACTGCAACCTTTTTAGATCTATTGTGATGCTCCTTGGTTGTTAGAGCTCATTGTCTAGCTTGTTTATTTTGATGAGACTCCATAGCCTTGACATTGATTTCAAGCGGTGCTATACAATAACTGTGTACAGAGATGTCATACTGGGCGTTCCTCAGGGCTCTGTATTGGGTCCGCTGTTGTTCATTATGTATATAAATGATCTGACCCCTTTCCTATATCCACTCGAAAGTGTTCTTTTCGCAGACGATACCACATTAATTTATTCACACAAAAATCACAACTCACTGGTCAGACTGGCTAAGGAAGCGGAAGAGAAAGCCGAGTCTTGGTTTCTTCGCGAATAGACTCAAACTAAGCAACGACAAATTCCAGCAATTAATAGTAACCACAAATACATCTCCGCAGGAAGACCGAAATGTCAGACTGCTTGGCCTTGTTCTGGATCACAAACTCACCTGGTCAAACCATGTCAGTCAACTAAGCCTAAAATTGTCCAGCTCACTCTTTGTAATTCGCCAACTGAGGCCCGTAACAAACTCATACACCCTACGAACCGTCTATTTTTCCCTCTTTCAAACCCATCTTAATTACGGTTTACTACTTTGGGGAAACTCAACAGCGGCACCAAAAATATTCATAACTACTACAAAAAAAGGCTGTAAGAATTCTCTCCAACGCTAATTATCGTGATACATGCAGACCACTTTATGAAGCACTGAAAATTATGACCCTTCCATCTCTCTTTATATTGAGCACACTACTGGAAATACATAAGAATCTGTCGAATTTAACTCTGCAATCCGCTGTCCACGAACACAATACATTATAAATCAGAGTACCCAGATATAGACTTGCCAAATCTTCCAAAAACTCACTCAACTACAAACTATATAATGTGCTACCAGATAAGTTGAAAAATGCAACCATGTATACGTTTAAATTCACTATTAAACTCTTCTTGACGGACAACGCTTTCTACTCACTAGAGGAATATGAAACTTGTGTGATAAACGGGGGCTTGATGACGTATACTCGCTGAGCAGTCATAAACCCAACCTAAACTAATAGTCTCACATGTATGTATCTATGTTTAATCTTAATATTAACACTTAATTTTAACTAG